TGTGTTGCAATGTATCTTTTTTTTCTTTTAAATCTTCTTATAGTTATTTAAAATTCTTATCAATGATGGTAGTACATATAATCGTAATCCATTTCGACGAATATATAATATGTCTAATCAACCAAGTGTTTCTCTTGTTGTTCGTCGAACTCATTTATATGAAGATGGTTTTGAGAAATTATCCAAAGAAAATGGTAATGTTTATCTTGAATGGTTTTAAAAAAAAAATTAAAGTTGAATAATAATGACTGTCAGAGGAACACAGAATGCGTGTTTTGTCTAATTTACGACTCGTCAGCTGGATATATATATATATATATATCCATCTCAGTTCTGATGCTGGTGTTTACAATGCAAGATTGTTAGGTCCGAGCCTCAACGTGAACATCAACACTTAGATTCAGGTTTATCCAGCTGATGAGTTTACAACGATTAATCACGTTCATGTGAAATCATGATTTCTAAATGGAGTTGTGGAATAATAACTTTGGCGATTACTGAATTCTGTGATTATCATATCTTGTATTATTCTCCGTCTTTGATGACTGGCTAACAAATGACTGTAAAGTAAAAAATAGCTAATGTAATACTAGTTCATATTACTTCATTACGACTCCTTGGTTTTTGATCCCAGAGTCTTCAGGCATATTTTAGAACGCAATTTAGATACGATTCCAATGTTGTCCTTTATTTCATTCTTCACAGTTTTAAGATTCAGATTTTATTAACCAAACTAAATCTAATTAGTTTATTCAGTCATCTGTTGATTATGTACGATGTTTAGATAAAACATCGTAGGATCGATGCATTCAATTCTGTATTTGAAAAACTGATACAAAAAACATAGTGGGATAACGTTTTATTCCCGATTCATCATCTTTTGTTTTTAAATTGGTTTCAGCGTTCGCCTGAGAATTATTTGTCACTGGATAACTGTCTGTTCTTAGTGTATTGCTCTTCGCTAATATACATCCACAACCCACAAAGGATCATACTCAGGACTACTACTCAGATCTTACTAGTACTCTTAAATGAGATCAATTTATGATTAATATAATGTAAAAATTAAACCAATCTGCCCCCGAAACTCCTTCAACCTAAAACAAAAACTTTTTTTTTAAAAAATTTATTTTGCAGCACCCAATTTACGTCAACGTTTAAAAGTGACCTTTTTAAATCCAACTGGTTTAGCTGAAGTTGGTATTGATGGTGGTGGTTTATCAAGAGAATTTCTTACTGAAATTATTCGTGCTGGTTTTGATCCAACTAGAGGTTTTTTTGTTTATGCATCAGATAAAACTTTATATCCAAATCCACAAGCATCTGCAATTACATTGGATTATTTAAAGCATTATTATTTCTTAGGAAGAATTTTAGCAAAGGTTATTCATTTGTTTAATATTTTAATACAATTTTAATTAAATATACTTTATGAGTATGTCACAAGTTCATGAAGTCACTGACAAGTGGACTGAATGAGCCATGTTGGTAGGTGTAGACTACCTGGTTGAGGACGGCGAGATGATAGCAACCGATGGTTAGAGACCCTGAATGACATGGCTGAAAATCGTTTGCGATGGCGCAATTGTATCCACTCTCTGTGTTCTCCCAAATTGTAATCTTCTGAACTATTCATGTCCGTTTTTTCTTTCCGAATTTGTTTCACTGGATTATACTCCTTTGAATAACATCTTCAAACCCTAATGTTTTCGATTACTGCTTATACTTTTACTACCTCTACCACTATGGGATTTGAATCGACAATTGTGTCTGTGCTAATGTGGTATGGGAACTCGAACTGATGTACTTACGTACGAAGTTCTACATTGTTACAGACTGGCTGACTTTATGAGTGAAATAGGATCCATTTCAGATGTGTTATATTTGTGTATGTATCATCTATCAGTTTTGTGCTACAATTTAGTTGTGTAAAGTATATAATATACTGTGTTTAACCAACTTTGTCACTGAAGGTCTACTGATATCCATCCGACAACATGAGGTTCCTTCGATAATAAGGGAATATATCTTTGTTCACTATTGATTCTGATGATTCATTTATTCATTATTTTTTCTGTTCGTTATTTCATTATCTTTTTCGTTGTCATTTTGTTATGTTTTCTCTTATTACGACTGAGTTACTTCTGTTGTTTAATATTCTTGGACATTACTTCACTCGACAAGTCCCGAAATTATTACATGGTTGAATAGGAAGGTAATTGTATTACAAATGAAGATGGTTGGGTGGAATTAGGAATCCCAATAAGAAATATGTTAGTATATTTATAGTTTTTGCATATGAAGATTCTAGAATCTTTAAGTCTCCACTAGCACCAATTGGTTAGGGAAAAACAAATCAGTTTTTCCGGAACATACTTTAACCCTGTCTATACCCCTCTAACACTTTAAATGTCTTGAAATGTCTCGGCTTAATTTCAATGTTTTTTTTCGGTTTCCATTGGTTAATGGATCCTTTTCCCTCTTCTCTACAGTACTCTATTATGATAAACACCTACCTTTATATCTATATTAAGTAATTAAACATTGTGCCCTTATAAGCAAATATGGATAGTGGCTGTTATAACTTGTCGTTTGAATGCTTATTGTCTTGGCTCTTTTAATGCTACTTTTTGTATTTGGTCGTCGCTGATTGTTTTGTCGGAAATGCTTATTACTCATACTCGGAACGAGAGACCTCTGCCATTCCCACGATGCGAAAGTAAGAACACAAAGACTGGCATAAGTGATGATTTATTTACTCCAAAACACTATGACGACGACGACTCTAGTCGAAAATACACTCATTTATATATTGTTTGTACACCCATTTTGATTAATAATTAGGATGAAACCACATACATGAAAATCACATACTGAGCATAGTTCATGTCAATGGAATACAAGAATATCGTATATTATACAGAATAAAATATCATACAAGAAAAGAAAACAAATACTACATTGAGTAATCATTGCATTGAATCAAAACGGAAGTAATCTTGAACAAAACTTATAATGAGTAAATCAATCGAAAATTGACTTTTCTTTCCATCATATCAGTGGCTAGTAGTGGAATCCAGTTTGACGTGCGTTTCACCCTATTTGGGACTCGTCAGCTGGATGCATCTGCATCCAAGAGTTGATGTTCACTCCGGTACTCGAACCTAGTATCGTTCGCCGCTGAGTCCTGAAGTGAATATCAACTCTTGGGTGCAGGTACATCCAGCTGACTGGTCCTAAATAGAATGAAACGCGCGTCAAACTGGATTCTGCTGTTAGTCACTATCCATTTTTGATTATAGTGCTTGTGAATTACGGCAATATCGAGACAATACTCGCACTATGAACATATGTCAATAAGAGACTGACCAATTACAGTTCTAAACATCAAGGGGAAGATCCAAGTAAATAATAAGTGAATTATACCTCAGATTTTACATTCTCTGTGTTTTATATATATTACTAATATATTTTCTGTGTATACCCACTCATACAATTGTAGGCAATTTACGAAGGTGTGCTTGTCGAACTTCAGTTCGCTTATTTCTTCTTGGCGAAAATTGTTAGTCGAAGTGGCGGTGGCGGAGTCGGCTTTGATTATCTACATTCACTTGATCCTCAATTGTATAAGTAAGTAGTTTTTTGAGCAATAAATGTAGAAATATTTTCCATTTTAAGCAGATTTACTACTAATATTAGTATCCATTCCATATGTTTCTAAATACTAAGGATGCTACTGATAATCTTACATATCTCCTTTTTATTTTGTAACTACACTAAGATTAAATATGAAGCCTGTTTCATATTTCCTTCATGGTTTCGTTGAAGTGGAAATCTTTTTTTTGAGTCTAGAAATCACCTAGCAAGTCATTAGAACAGATATGATCAGCATTCAGAATCTATATCAACGTGAAACGTTTTGGTTATTATACTAAGACTTGCAATGACTACCCAACTATTGAGAAGTACATTAGAAATTCCTTCTATGTAAATAGTTAGAAACAATCGGAGAACAAAATCCTGAACTTAAGTTTTGAAGTATTTGTCATTCGTCAGCAAGGTTTTTCTTTAGTCTTGAAGGGAACCTATTTTTCCTCTGCAAATTGGTCGACAGGATTTAATCAACACTTAAAGACTAGACAAACTAAACTTTCGTCATTACTCATTCAATTGTACCTGTAAGCAAGCTGATAAGCTCTGTAATATCTAAATTTCCATCAACCCTGCACTCCCATATATGTCATTCAATGTTATCAGTGATCTTTACAAGCTTCAACTGACCTCCCATAGTATCCCGACCACCGCATCTACCTTGACGTGGTGGCCAGACTTGCCTATCGTGATGGACCAATTGGGCTATACTGGCTGGAGCAATCGTTCCTCAATGTCCTACCATACCATCCAGGTCGGTTGAAGGGCGGTAAGAATAAAACAGCAAACTAAAGGTCCGAGAGCGAAGTTGTACTGCTGATTGTAAAGAACTGTGATGGCAGTAATTGTTTCCCTTAAACAATCACCATAACAGCGATGCTACCTTCCCACAAGGAAGGGTGCGTTTAGAAAATTTCCGCCCTAAAAATGCATTCATCGCCTTATCCCACAGATTTTCGTCTCCCTCGGTAAGGTCCCAACACGTACGGAGCTAACAAAAAAGTTACTCACAAAATGGTCGGATGTGTCCGGTCTCAAGCAGTTATTCCTTGGGTACTATGGTCACGCCACCTCCGACCCTTTTCAGGTACCTCTAGAAGAGCCTTTCCACAATGTGCGCAATCCATAAGCGATAACCGCCCTCATACCTCTAACAACACTCAACACCACCCCCACAGTATAAGTATTTTAGTGTTTTCATAGAATTTTTTCTATATTTGTTTCACAGTTCTTAATAATTCATCATTAAGATGATAAACAATTCAGATTTAATTGAAATCAATGTATGGCAACTCGAACTGATGTACGTACGTACGAAGTCCTACGTTGTTACTGACTGACTGAATGTATAATAATCGTATTCAATCAATCGTTTGTTGTTTATTTCTTATATTTTCATATTTTTCTTTCTCAATAGACAATTATTATTTTTAAAAAATTACAAAGGGGATGTACGAGATTTATCGTTAGATTTCACTATGGTTCAATCAATTTTTGGTCAATCTGAAACGATCGAATTGAAACCAGGTGGTAAACATATACCAGTTACTGAAGAAAATCGTGTTGAATATGTACATTTAATTGCGAATTATAAATTAAATAAAATGGTGAGTTTTTTTGTTGTTGGTTGTTGTTACTTTGACATAAAATTACTAAGAATTATTTATGTTACTAGTTGAAATCATGAGTCATTTGAAGCTAGACCACCATGGAAAACCTAGAACCAGTGAATGACCGTTTCGTCTTATTGTGAGACTCCTCAGTAGTGCGCATCCACGACCTCGCCTTGCTGGATTCTAACCCAGGGCCTATGAGTCTCGCGCGTGAACGTTTAACCACTAGACCAGTGAGCTGGACGGCATCCAACGGTGTTAATGTCTAAATTCAACTTATCCATGAAATTGTGCGACACATCCATCATTGTCTTCAGTGAGTTACTATCTCATAACAGACATGGTTGAAATCCACTGGTCACTGTTTCTCACTAGAACTCCAGGAAATACGTCTTGGAGACCGTCGCTAGTGAGCATATATTGATTAATATCAGAAGGGGTTTAGTTGAAATGAGACATTAACACCGTGGGATGCTGGCCCATTTAAACGTTCGCGCGCGAGAGCGATATGTCCTGAGTTTGAATCTAGCGAGGCGGGATTGTGGATACGCATTGCTAAGGAGTCCCACAACGTGACAAAACGGCGGTCCAGTGCTTCCAGGTTTTCCATGGTGGTCTAGCTTCAACTAACTCATGATTTCAACTATTAAAATTACTATATTATACACAAAAAGCCCCTTCCGATATGAATTAATTATCTGTTGATTGGGATATGAGTACATCTAGCTGACAAGTGCAAAATGGGACGAATTGTGCGTCCTGCATTTCACTGCTAGCCATAATCTATCTCTACTTATACGACTTATCTAGTTTTACTGAAAAGATTTTATGGAATTCAGTCTTATTTACAGGTGATTTTACTATTATTCTGTGATAAGTGAAACCTATAAATTAAGCTAACTTTTATGAAATTACTTCAAATGAACTATAGTACTCAGCTGATTAGTAACTTACTTTAAAATGAGCGCCCAAATGCCCTGGTACGGCGGAGAGTGGGGAGAGTCCGCTCTCCCTCTCGAAATGCTCTCACATGGCCACGCCTATATAGCCTCTGCCAGGGAAGTCCTACTCGCTGCCGTCTCGTGGTTGAGGTGTTGTTTACGAAATTGAGAAGACGAGAAGAGAATGTCCAACGCTTTTACCGGATCCCAAACCAAATCAATGGTGCACATGGGCTCCAGTATTCTGAGGGAACAAATGGCGTACGAACCAATCGTTGGTCACCGGCTAACATGGGACTGCATCTCCTTACGATGCTCCACTGCGTTGCGGATAAAACCTTTAGGTCGAAGGTTCGGGGTGTGGTCCCTTAGGAAAACCACCTGCTTCTGTTTGGGCACCCGAGCAGTATCACAGCCCTCACACATATCGAATGTTATTTGTGTGGTGCATATGTATTTGGTGCCTCCTTGTACCAATATCTATATGTTCAAATAAATAAATAAATAACTTTAAAATGATCATAGAAGCTCTAGTGAGAAGTAATAATTATCAGAGTTCCGAAACGTTGTAATTGAAACAGTTTTGTTCGTTGAGCATTATGACAAATTAATCGAAGTTAAAACTCTAATATCACTGAACACTCACTAAGTATTTTTAATAGTTAGGTATCTGTAATAAAACCCGATGGTCATAGGTTTACACTGCGAAACTTTCTTATAATAAAACAAATTAGCTGTTTAATATTCTTTCGTTTTTCAATGATACCTCAATCACAATATGTAGTAAATTTAAACTACAAGTCAGTATTGAAATGGTCAAATTGAAGGGAATAAGAATGAAGAAAAGATGAAGTTTGTAAGAGAGATAACTGATGAAAGATGTACAAATGATGTATTTCAATGTATGGTTTTCATATTTACACATAATAAATTGATCTTCTCCACCTGAATTCTTCGTTCACGACAGTCTGAAACTCCATTAGAAAAATTTATCTTTAAGCTGATGTTACTTAGTATTGTAGTGAATAACTTCAGAATATTTATTCCATACTTTCTACAACATCATTTCAATTGAAAATTATACAAATTCTTTATCGTTTCTTTACACTTACCACGTATTTAATACCTATGGATAAGATGTATTAAGTTGTCAGCTTATATGTAACATGAAATTAGTTAGACATGTATATTCTAAACATTCAATCAACACCTATCTATCTCTCTCCTGGCAAGTTAGTTTTAGCTATTACTTTCAATTACTTTAGATCAAGTTAGTAGTTGGTTGGAAGATATCTGACAGAAAAATTTAAATATATTTATCGTGATGCCTGGTACTCGTTAGCTCCATGATTCAGTGGTCAGTCAATTGTCGACCACTTCACTCATCTTGGAAGTCTCATCAGCCCTTGTGGTCTGGTGTGTGACGAAAACTCAGCACAGATACAGAAGGCTCGATTAGCTTTTGCCAACTTGCGTCATTTATGGCGTAGGCGAGATATCCGTCTATCAACCAAAGGACGTGTTTACTGCGCAGCAGTTCGTCCCTTCCTACTTTATGGCAGTGAAACATGACCAGTAAGAGTAGAGGATATTCGTAGGTTACTAGTATCCGATCTTAGGTGTCTTCGAATCACTGATCGTATATCCTGGAGCCCGATCGAAGCTGCTACCTTGACGCGGTGGTCGGGCTTGCCTATCGTGATGACCCAACCGAGCTATATTGGCTGGAACATATGTTCCTGCAGGTTCTACCATGCCAGGCAGGTCGATTGGCGAACGGTAAGACTAAAAGCAGCAACTCAAGGTCTGAGGGCGAAGTCGTACTGCTGACTGTAGAGAGGTGTGACAGCAGTAAGGTGTTTCCCTCGGACAACCAGCATCTGCAGCGATGCTGCCTTCCCACAAGGAGGGGTGGGGTTAGAAAAGGTCGACCCTAAAAATGCACACCTCACCTTACCTCATGGATTTCCGTCTCCGGCGGTAAGGCCCCTTGAAGAACGGAGCTAACACGTCAAAAACCTTCCACAAAAAGGCCGTGCGCGACCGGCCTCAAGCAGTTGTCCCTTGGGCTCTGCGGTCACGCTCCCAGGTTGTCAAGACCAACACTAATCCAATTTCCTTTTCAGGTTCCTCAAGAAATACCATTCCACGGTGTGGGCAGCCGGGAAGTGACATCAACCCTCATACCCGTAACAGCACAAGAGACCAAGGTGGTCACATTCAAATCCTTCCTACACCTCCTAATACCTCTCTTATCCTCCCGACTAACCCTCCTCACGTCTCTTTATCACCTCGCACCGCTAGGGCAAACGATTCGAGTACGTGGAACGCTATTCCTGGTCTCCTGAAACCACGCTCTAAACTACACGTAGGAGCTTTTAACGTACGAACACTTTGCCAAATAGGACAGCAGGCTTCCTTAGCTAAAACTTTAGAATCTCGCGCCATCGATGTGTGCTGCGTCTCCGAAACGCGCATACAGGATCCAAGTAGCGTCATTCATTTGACCTCACCATGCCAAAATAAAGAACCGACTCGATTTACGCTTCGTGTATCTGGAAGCCCTGATTCTGCTTCCCGTGGCCTCGCCGGCGTAGGTATAGCATTGAGTCCTAGGGCAGAACTAGCTCTCTTAGAGTGGATCTCAGTAAACAGTCGTTTGTGCGCTGTCCGACTGAACGGAACAGTAAGAATCCGGAAAGATAGGGACACTCGTCGTTGCCTCTTCGTCGTCTCTGCTTATTCTCCCACTGACTGCAGCTCAGATGATGTAAAAGATGAGTTTTATAGAAAGCTTTCGGACCTTTTCCGAAAAGCTAAGCGCTCGGATGTAGTAATAGTGGCCGGTGACTTTAATGCTCAAGTAGGTAAACTAAGCGATAAGGAAAGACACCTAGGTGGATCCTATGGTGTCGTGGCTCAAAGAACAGATAATGACGACCGTCTGTTGCAGCTATGCTCAGATAACCGCCTGTTCCTTGCAAATACTAACTTTAAGCATAAGGATAAACATCTTTTAACATGGCGACCCCCTAATTCGTCCCAACGTTGGACCCAAATAGATCACATCGCTATCAGCCACCGATGGAGGGGCTCGATAGAAGACTGTCGCTCGTTCTGGAGCACATGCTTAGATACAGATCATGCTCTAGTGCGAGCGCGCGTTTGCTTGCGTCTTACTGGACGTAGGAAAGATCTTGCAAGGAAACCTCTTAGGGCCCTACTTAATGATAGTCAAGCTAAGAGTATATTTCAGGAACAACTAGGGAAACAGTTAGACAGCCATGTATGTGATGCCCACCCCGATGCAGCATGGAATGATATCCGAAAAGCTGTGGAAACAGCAGTGATATCTGCTAGTAAGGTAAACCAGAAGGTTAGGGAGCAACACTGGATCTCAGCAGCATCTATCTCACTGATAAATGCTCGGAAACACATTCCACCTGGCTCTGAACATAATGAAGAGCGGAGTCAGCTTAAGTGCAAGCTGACAAGAAGTCTACGCAATGATCGCGAACAGTGGTGGGTAGCGAAAGCAAGAGAGATGGAAAAGGCAGCGGCAATAGGTAATAGCAGACAACTGTTTAGACTCGTTAAGGAAACCGGAATTAGGAACCCGACCGTTAGCGAAACAATCTCAGAGAAAGATGGACATATTATTCATTCTCAATCCAGGAGATTGGATCGATGGGCAGAACACTTTAGGGATCAGTTCAACTGGCCTTCAGCCACATTTCGGTTTCTAACGATCTCCAGTCAACCTGAATGGCAAGTTAATGTAGGTCCTCCGTCCCTTTACGAAGTTGAAAAAGCCATAGGAAATCTGAAACGAGGGAGAGCAGCAGGCCCTGACAGGTTTACTCCTGAGATTTTTAAGGATGGTGGTCCAGTATTAGCAATGAGATTAACCGAGGTCTTAGGTAGAATTTGGGAACTGGACGTAATCCCATCTGACTGGTCTCAATCACTGATTGTGCCAGTCTATAAGAAAGGACAAAAGTCCTCTTGTGACAATCACAGAGGAATCAGTTTGACTAATATAGTGTCTAAAATATTAGCCTCAATCATACTTCGACGCCTAACTAAAGCTCGTAAAGAGCAGACTAGAGAAAACCAGGCTGGTTTTCGACCTGGACGTGGTTGTATAGATCAGATATTCACACTACGTCAGGTTCTGGAACACAGACACACATTCAGACGCCCCACAATGGTAGTATTTCTCGACCTTAAGGCGGCATTCGACTCTATTGATCGTGAGGTTCTATGGCAGTGTTTGTCACTGAAAGGAGTACCAAAGAAGTACATTAACCTTATAAAGGCTCTCTACTCGAACACAACTGGTCGAGTGAGAGCTTATGGCGAACTGTCATCAGAATTGATCACCTCAAGTGGTGTTCGTCAGGGCTGTCCACTCTCGCCATTCTTGTTCAACTTTGTCATTGACGTACTTTTAGAGATAACACTTTCCTCATCTAAATTTACAGGGGTTGAACTTCTACCAGGAGGTTCACTTGTTGACTTAGAATATGCTGATGACATAGTTTTATTTGGTGAAGACGCTGACAAAATGCAGAGTCTTCTGACCACTCTAAGCAACAATGCAAGCATGTTCGGGATGCGATTCTCTCCCTCGAAATGCAAAATGTTGCTTCAGGATTGGGTTACATCGACACCCGAACTAGTGATAGGGAGTGAAGTAGTTGAGTGTGTCGACCGCTTCACTTATCTGGGAAGTCTCATTAGCCCTTGTGGTCTGGTGTGTGACGAAATCTCAGCACGGATACAGAAGGCTCGACTAGCTTTTACCAACTTGCGTCATTTATGGCGTAGGCGAGATATCCGTCTATCAACCAAAGGACGGGTTTACTGCGCAGCAGTTCGTTCCGTCCTACTTTATGGCAGTGAAACATGGCCGGTAAGAGTAGAGGATATTCGTAGGTTACTAGTATTTGATCATAGGTGTCTTCGAAACATTGCTCGTATATCCTGGGACCATCGAGTAAGTAACACAGTTGTTAGGAAACGGGTACTAGGTAAGGATGGCAAATCAATTGATGAAGTAGTGAAACTTCATCAGTTGAGATGGCTGGGACACGTGTTACGTATGCCCAACGACCGACTGCCTCGACGTGCTATGTTCAGTGGTATAGGAGTACGTTGGAAGAAAGCTAGAGGCGGCCAAACCAAAACATGGCACAAGTCCATGAAGTCACTGACAAGTGAACTGAGTCATGTTGGTAGGTGTAGACTACCTGGTTGGGGACCGCGAGATGACAGCAACCGATGGTTAGAGACCCTGAATGACATGGCTCAAAATCGTTTGCAATGGCGCAGGTGCATCCACTCTCTGTGTTCTCCCAAATTCTAATCTGAATTCTTCATGTCCCTTTTTTCCTCTTTCCAAATTTTTTTCACTGTATTATACTCTTTAAATAACATCTCCAAACCCTAATCTTCCCGATTACTGCTTATACTCTTATTACCTCTACCACTACGGGATTTGAATAGACAATTGTATGTCTGTGCTAATGTGGTGTGGCAACTCGAACTGATGTACGTACGTACGAAGTTCTACGTTGTTACTGACTGACTGACTGATATCCTGGAACAATCGAGTAAGTAATCCAGTTGTTAGGAAACAGGTACTAGGTAAGGATGGCAAATCAATTGATGAAGTGGTGAAACTCCATCAGTTGAGATGGCTGGGACATGTGTTACGTATGCCCAACCACCGACTGCCTCGATGTGTGATGTTCAGTGGTATAGGAGTAGGTTGGAAGAAAGCTAGAGGCGGCCAGACCAAAACATGGCACAAGTCCATGAAGTCACTGACAAGTGGACTGAGTCATGTTGGTAGGTGTAGACTACTTGGTTGGGGACCGCGAGATTATAGAGACCCTGAATGACATGGCTCAAAATCGTTTGCGATGGTGTATGCAGTTGCATCCACTCTTTGCGTTGTCCCAAATTCTAATCTTCTGAATTATTCACGTCCCTTTTTTCTTTCCAAATTTGTTTCACTAGATTATACTCCTTGAATAACATCTTCAAACCCTAATGTTTTTGATTACTGCTTATACTCTTACTACCTCTACCACTATGAGATTTGAATAGACAATTGTATGTCTGTGCTAATGTGGTATGGGAACTCGAACTAATGTACTTATGTACGAAGTTCTACGTGGTTACTGACTGACTGATAAACTAAACCAATCTCATTCAAACACTCCACAACCAAATACTATTTTTATGATACCTTAAAAATTCTTAGGTATCTGGCTATAATTTTATCTTCTATTTATCATTGATATATTTTGTTGAATTGTAAGTATATCATCTATGAGACTACTCTGTTTGTTTACAACTATTATTGCATGAATTTCATTGACATGTAATAATTTTTCAACTTAAGATTTATCCACAAGTACGAGCTTTTACTGCTGGATTAAATGATGTCATACCAATTGATTGGGTACGTCTTTTTGATGCAGAAGAATTACAAACTCTTATATCTGGAGCAGATATGGTAATCGATGTGAATGATTTAAAACAGCATACATTCTACATTGGAAGTATGTCACAATATGTTGATTTATCTGTTTTTGTGTATGTATGTATGTATGTATATACGTTGAAATGTTATTATTAAAGCAATGGTTGGTGATAGTGACTTATTGGTTGAAGTACTCATTGTTCACCAAGCCATACTTTTACATTACATCAATACTTCGAAGAGAGAGAGCAAGAGGAAATTCAAAAAATTGTATTGCCAGACAGTCGAAATAACAAGCGGTATGGTACCGTAGTTGATGTTGCCGACTACAATTGATCTGTCTCCTTTTGGCATATATAAAACCTGGTCAGATTATCTCAATACACATCAATTAATTTACCAATATTTTTAAATGGAGTTTTGATTATGGCTAACAGCGGGTGTTTGAAGCGAAAGGCATTGATGTCTTGGTCTTAATGTGAACATCAACATCAGACTACAAATATATCCAGTTGATTTGTCCGAGATAGAACAAAACCCATATCCTGGATTCCATTGCTAGCAACTATCGAAATGTTACTTAGAAATTAATATTTATATCAGAAGGGTTTTGTTGGTATTATAGTAATTTCAGCGGTTGAGATCATGAGTCAATTGAAGCTAAACGACCATGGAGACCTGGAGGCACTGGTCGACCGTTTTGTCCTATTGTAGGGCTCAGCAATGCGCATCCACGACCTCGCCTCGCGAGATTCGAACCCAGGACCTATTAGTCTCGCACGCGAGCACTTTACCACTAGACCACTGAGCCGACTGGCACCTAACGGTGTTAATGTTTAACTTCAATCAGTCCACGCAATTGAGCCACACATCCACCATTGTCATCAGTGAGTTACTATCTCACAACAGACCCGATTGAACTCCATTGATCGCCGCTTCTCACTATAACTCCAGGTTATACCTCTTGAATCCAGTTACTAGTGTGCATATGTTGATTAATATCAGAAGGGTTTTGTGTATATTATTAGTAATTTCAATGGTCAATGAACTCATGATCTCAACCATTGAAACTAATATTTGTTTGAAATTTTTGATCATTCTCATTGCCATACAGATATAGTCATTCAAGATTAAACACTATAATCTAGGAACTAAGTCTGAACATTCGATGTGATGAAAACCGATATTATTCACATTCACTAAACGCATCAATACAGATACTCATTTTGATATTTCATTGAACAAATAATATAAATTACGCGAAAATAATTTGCATCACTAATGTTAAAAGAAGAGTTGAATATTCAGAAATGAAATACCTTCTTTTTCATTATGGTTCAATGAAACTCCTCAGTGGTAGGAAATTACACATGAGATTCAATTCAGTTAATCATCATTAATTGCATTAACCAATACAAATGAAACCAATGCATCTGATCTGATTTCTAGAGATGATTAGATAAAAAAAAAAGTGAACAAAAATGATTAGTTACTTGTCAGTAATATAATTTGATAACATTTCATAAATCTTTTGATTGAGATCATGAACCGATTGATATTAGGCCATCATTGAAAACCTAGAAGCACTGGACGGCCGTTTCGTCCTATTGTGGAGCTCCTGAGAAGTGCGCATCCACGATTCTGCTCGCGGGGCCCGAACCCAGTGCCCTCGGTCTCGTGCGCGAACGCTTGACCTACAGGACCATTGAGCCGGTTGGCATCCAATGGTGTTAATGTCTAACCTCATCCAATCCACGAAGTTGCGCGACCATCTTCCATTGTACTGAGGTAGATACCTATCTCTCCCCGACACGGATAAGCTCCACTGGTCACGGCTTCTCACCAGAACTCTGAGAATTTTCTCACGAAGCTAGTCACTAATGTTTGTTTGTCAAGAAGTATGAAAAAAAACGAATATAAAATGAATTTGTAGGCCTTGATACAAAAGAATCATTAAAGGGTTAAGATAAAAGAAATATGTAAACCTAATAATTTTGGAATTTGTTTGATCAAATGGACATGAAAATAGTTGAAAGCAATTGATAATTAAGACTGTAATTGATCAATCTCCTCTTATGTGTGTTTACCTTACCACGAACAGCTGCTTGATAGATTTTTTAATTGTTGATGGATTTGACTTTTGTTAAACAGTTGGATCTCCAGGATAGACATTCAGTTCAGCTAGATTTATCCTTATCTCAGTCTTAATGTTCACACTGAGATTTAAACTATGTATCTATCGCTATTAGAGGCGAGTTTGTTATCCACCAAACGAATGTGCTCAGCTATCTGGTGATTTATAATCGCATAGTACCGTTGAACAATAAAGATGCTTTATTGACTTGTACTTCTGTATAGTTAGCAGTGTTATATTTGATGTTTGAATGGATTTCACAACCATAATCATTATAACACCTAATCGAGTTTTTAATAAGTGTATCATCAGATCACTCTATGGTTTGGACAATCATCAGTCGAGCTGATAGTAAATAATTTCCTGTCTATAATTTATGATACACTAAAGACATCGGTATGTACACTTAGAATTTTCATTTAAATCAATGAAGACAGCGGATACTGCTGAGATGAATGTAAAATTGAAGCGTTTGTTTATCACATGTGTTGACAGAAAGTTAGAACATCTACGGTCTCTTTGGTATTTTTTGGAAGACCCAGAATATTCTTCGAAAAAGAGTCCAAATGGACCCTGGAAACGCTGAGAAAATTTTTTATGCAATCAGCATTGAATCGAGGTTACTCAGAAACATATTTCTGACTCGATGATTATCTATCCTGCTGCTATGTTTATTAGGGTTCGAGATGCCCATGGTCATCTGAAATGTTACAAATACCTTCGATTTTCTGTATATAAACTAACCGTGGAGTGAAGCGTTCTTTTCACATTTCACTCCTTTTCTCTCGTATTCAAGTTGTCGTTGTTGTTATCCCATACCACATGAACGAACAACAATTCTTGAATGAGATGATAATTAAAACAAGTTAGAATGTGAAAAATAAATGACAGTGCTTGGATCAAATTATAATTTTGTTTATTGTATTATTATTTGAACACATAAATATTGATACGAAGGGGCGCCGAATACATATGCGCCAGATAAGTCACTTGATTTGTATGTGAACTGTGATACTGTCCGGGTGCCCAAACAGAAGCAGGTGGTTTTTTAAGGGGCCACACTCCGAGCCTTTGACCTAAAGGTCTAATCCACAAGGCGGTGAAGCAACGTCAGGAGACGTAGTCTCATTGTAACCGGTCACCAACAATTGGTTCATATGCTATTTGTTTCCTTAGGATCCTGCAGTCCATGTGCGCTATTGATTTCGAATCAGGCTTTTCCAACTCTCCCTGTCCACCAACCCGGTTAAAACACCAGACATTCTGTTTCCGTCCTCTCAATTTCATAAACAACACCCCCTTCCGCTGTGGAAAGCCAGTGAATAGGACGTCCCTGGTAGTGGTTGTATGACCAAGTGGTCATTTGAGAGCATTTTGAAAAGGAGAGTTGACTCTCTCCACCCTCGGCTTTACCAGGGTGTTTAGATGTTCTTAAATCAAATCTTTTCTGATGTTGTTGTTTTTAAATGTTATTATTACTTCAAGAATCGAAGAAGCAGCTTCAATAAATTTCTCATTATCATCATCATCATCATAAAACGATTTTTCTTCTTTTTGTTTTTCTTTTCTTTTTTCAAGATTCATTAAATTATACTGAAACATTAGATTGTTTTTGGTCAGTATTACATAATTTTTCAGAATCTGATAAACGTTCATTTTTACGTTTTGTTACTGCATGTTCACGTCCACCAATGTTTGGTTTTCGTGAATTACAACCACCATTTTCAATACAAATTACTGATGAAATTGAACGTTTACCAACTGCAAGTACATGTACAAATTTATTAAAATTACCTAATTTTCGTAATATAAAATTATTACGTGAACGTTTATTATATGCATTAAATGCAAATGCTGGTTTTGAATATGGTTAAATTCAATCAAGTAAAGTGATGATGTTTGTTTAATTGTTTACTTACTTACTTGTTTGTTTATTTTTCCTTTGTAAACATTCATGTATCCATTCACTTATCATGTTGATATTTTCTTAAATTTATCAATTGAGTAGAAGATTTCGCTTTTTTTTCGGTTTTTTTTATATAAAAATTTCTACTAACATTATCAATACTACTGTATACTTAAGTAGTAGTACTACTACTACTACTAACATTTTGGTTATAATCATTTGAATATAATAATAATAATCATCATTATAATAATATGCATATATTTATATATGGATGTTGGTGAAATTTGAATTTTCACAGTTGAATTCATGAATCGATCTAACTTAGACCACTATGGAATACCTGGAAGCATTGAATAGCTGACTCGTTGTTGTCAGTCAGCTACAATGTAGAATCAGGCACATATATACATCGATCCAAGTAGTCTGTATCCACGAACATGGCTCACACCAGAAGTTAGTGACTCCATGCACTGATGCCACGTTTTGGTTTGGCCGCCCCAAACTTTCTTCCAACCATCCCCAACACTAGTCAGCATTGCGCGTCGTGATAATCGGTGTTCAGGCATACGTAACACGTGATCCAACCATCTCAGTTGTTTAAGAATTAGAACCTCATCAACTGACTTACCATCATTATCTAATACACTGCATCTAACCTTGCCATTATTTACCCTAGTGATTTCAGCATGCATGAGCAATATTTCTAAGGCACCTGTGATCAAATACTAGTAGCTTATGAGTATCTTCTACCCTTAATGGCCACATTTCGCAGCCGTAATGTAGAACAGAACGATCTACTACACAGTATATTTGTCCCTTAATTGATAGACTGATACTTCTCCTTCACCAAAGGTGACGCAATTTGGCAAAAGCCAAACAAGCTTTTCAAATCCGTGCTCAGATTTCGTCAGACACCAACCCATTAGGGGTGATCAGACTTCCAAGATAAGTGAAGTTGTCAACGAGTTCGACTACTTCACTCCCTATCCTTAGTTCAGGTGTTGATGCAGGCCAGTCCTGAAGCAACAACTTACATTTAGAGAGGGAGGAACTCATCTCAGACATTCTGGCATTGTTGCTCAGTGCTGCCAAAAGACTGCACTTCATCAGTGTCTTCACCAAACAGTACTATATCAGCTGCGTATTGTAAGTCGATTAGTGGACCTGTTGGAAGGAGATCAATGCACGAGAATTCAATCGACGAGAACGTTACTTCCATCAGTAGGTCTATGACGAAGTTAAACAAAAATAAAG